AGTTAAACTATATTAATTTTGTTCTTCGCCCTTTTAATATTCTAAATTATAAATTTATACAGCGCGCTTTTCTTGAAAACTTTTTCAATCGACCCTGAAAGCCAAGAAAAGAAAGAGGAGAGTTCTGGTCAAAATTCCAACTAGGGATTGCACAGCGATAAAAGTTGGCCTGCTGCTGTTCATGATTGAGAACATCACCGGCTTTCCCGTCAATTTCTAGTACTTGAAAAGTTACGAGCGCTGATGTTGAAAACTTCCTTCGAATTTACCTCGTAAACGTGCAGCGAGTAAAGCGGAAACTTGGCATCGGAGAGTTAATCCCTCAAGCTAGTCTAGCACTTCCTGTTAGACGGATAGAGTACATAGTGCCACTGAGATTTAGAAACTAGAAGCTCTTTTTTATTGCTTTCAACTTTTTGACACAATGCGAAGAAGGTGTGGTTTTAGATGTCACAGTAAAGAGGGGAAGGTGGGGGGGGGAGAGAATTTTAGGCTTAGGAAAAGAGAAGATGACTCGTTTTAATAAAGTCAAGTCACGCTTTTTGAGTTCATAAATATACCCTCTCCATACACACTTATTGAAAAAAAAGAATGAAATCTTTAAAATGTGTTCTCAAACATATATATAGGGTCCTTGAACGATGACCCTTACAATCCGTTTGTTACACATCTTTCCTTCTCTTTCTTCCCTTTTTTTCCTTGCACCGACGAAAAGCCGAATACAATGGACAATATTCGAGTAAATGTAAGGTAGTAGGAATACGTACTTTAGAGGAAAAGAGACACACATGTGTATGAACATCTGACCGTCCTATTGAAAACCAGCGAAATAGAAGTCTTCTGCAAATATTGATCTATGCTCGAGAACTTTTCTGAATGTGGATTACTTAACTTCCTTGCCGAGTCAAAATCCTATGCATACAAGATTCGGTACCCTAGGCGCGCGAAAAGTCGGGTTTTTTTCATCCTCTTCTTTTCAACTATTATTATTCATTTATTTGCTGTGTCAACATTTGGGAATTGTTGCTGATCAGTTTTTTATATACTCGTGGCAGGTTTTTTAATTTGCATTCATATTACAGTTCTCTTAATTCCCACTAATTTCTTATTATTAAATGTTATGGTTAAGTCTCTGTCATTGCTAACATATCACCATTCTTTTGCTATAGAACTATTTCTATAATTCTATAATTTTAAAAAGCATGACATTTTAATTTATTTTACACAGTTTTGCTAAGAATATCAAATTGAGACAAAAAACGAATTAAAAGTGTTGCGAAGCAACATTTTGATTCGTTTTTTGTCTCAATTTGATATTCTTAGCAAAACTGTGTTTACAAAATTTTCTTCAATTTTAAATGAAAAGAAAAAAATTTAGCCAAATTCGCAGTTTATTGAAATGATAAATAGAACGAAAAAAAAATTCAGTTTGTTGAAATGCTAAATAGAAAAAAAAAATTCCAACTAAATTCGCATCAAAAAGGGGGGCAATCATCCAGGATCGATTACATATTTACAATTTGAATTTTAAATAGAAAAAAATGTGTAACGACTGGGAATAAATTATTGTTTTATATACGACTGACCTTACTTTCACCAGTTCGTTATTATAACGCGAGGGAAGCTTATGCTGAAGGCGCTAGAATACAAAGTGGCTAATGACTAATATGATCGAATGAAATAACTCACTAGTATCAGAATAATCCAAGATTAATAATCCCAGCAATCAGCAACAGTAAATAGAAATATTAAAAAATAATAAAAATGATAAAAGTGAAAGAACTTAAAAATCAAAAATAAAATTATACTACTTATATTATAATTACTACTATACTAAACTATACTATACTACACTGTTATACTATATGTAATATAATTATACGACTAATATTATTCTTCGGATTTTTTACCTAAACGGCTCTTCTCTTTTAGAATTCTCTGTTTTTTACCGAAAAAAATTTTTAATAGCCGTTAAGGCAATATTTGTCAAGAAATGTAAACGTGATATATATAATCGTTAACCTTGGAACGTTTTAGAAAACAAAACAAGAAAATTTTGTTGAGTCACTATTGTCCCGTGCGAGGGAAAACAAAAGCTTTTTCCAGTTTCGAACAAAAAAATCCAAAACACATTCTTTTTTTCGTTTCAGGAGAATGACTATTATCGTAAACGAGACATCACTACTATCGGTTGTGTGTTGCACTATAAATGGGACACAATGGCCTAAAAACTTCCGGTTTAGTGGAAAAAAAACCCTCATAAATTTTCACGAATTCTTGAAAAGGATGAGAGAGAGGAAACATTTTTTCGGCACCCGTTAATGTAATATTGAGGGTCGTCTATATATATACATGGGTACAGCACTTAAAATCATCAATTTTAAGTTTTTCAAGGGAGATTTTTATGTTACCACGAACTACAACCTAAACATCGATATCAAAATTTTAAAACATCATTTATCATGTTTCTTTTTTCGATCAATTTTTCAGAAAAGTAAAGTAATTTTTTTTGGTACATATGGAAAAATTTAGGGTATCATTTTATTTTTTTACTACGCAGTTTATTATTGTAAGAGCGCATATATCAAAATATCTATATATTTCTGTTATTCTGTTGATGTGTCATAATTATAAAGATTCGAAAATTTCTAAATTAAACAAGAGTCATCTGTTAGATTATTATAATAGAGAAATAGAGAGCAGATGTTTCATTATATTTACTCAAATGTTAATAACAGTTGTTGACTATAACTTTTGCAACACGAAAGAAATATTGTATAATTTACATAGAGGAAAATATTCCTCCTCGGGCTAAGAAAACATAATCACGTAATACAGTATTTTTAACAAAGTACTATGAGAGAAACATAAAAGAGTTGTTCAAAATCTAAATTAGGAATAGGGGTAAGCGAACCCCTTCTTGAAAACGTTTACGATTTATGATGACGAGGGGTAGGAGGATGGTTAATTTTATGTGATATCACTTAATAGTTAATGGGTTTTCTCGTAAAATAATAGTTTAGAAACAGAATTTATAATTTTAATTCAACGTGAATAAATATTAATTATTTCGACAAAATTAATTTTTGAAAACATAATCCTCCGGTACATAAATTATATAAATAATTTATGTAATAATTAAAAAAGTAATAATAATAAAGAGTGATAATAAAAGATAATATTAAAAGAAATAGAAATAAAACAAGTGCGTAAGTTACATATATTACTTTAAATGCTGAAACAGTTCTCATTAAGCAAGAAGAATTCTTATTTAACATGATTTCTATCTGACTTTTTTTTCATGTAATAGAATTTTTTGTTTTTTTTTTTATTAAGCAGAATTCCCATTCAGAGGAATTTCAAAATTCAAAACAAATTTCAATTCAGCAAAATTTACATTTTTTTATTTAAACTGATAAATTTGCCAAAAAATGAAATTTTCATTTAACAGAATTTTTTGGTTTGTGAATTTTGATTAAACAAAAATTGCATTTAGCAGAATTTCTAGTAGATTTCAATTTCTTTTAGCAAAATTCTCAAACAAGAAAATTTTGGTCCAAAACAATTTATGTTAATTCAAAATTTTTTTTAAAGAAAATTCTTATTTGGATAAATTTATTTTATTCAATGTGAATTCCATTAAGCAGAACATTTATTTAGCAAATTTTTCCACAAAATCGAATTCTCAAAAGGCAGAATTTCTATTTTACTCCAAGTAATCAAATTGCAGTAAAAATTATATTATGCAAGAATTCTGCCAAATAAAAATTGGTTAAAAAAGAAATCCCACTAAAGAGAATTTTGCTAAATAAAATATAATTTCAATAGAATTTAAACTAAATAGATATTTGGCTAAATAAAAATAAGCCAACATTGTAATTTTGACAAAAAGGAATCCCAAAAACTATAATTTCGGTTAAATAAAACTAAAATTGAATAAAAAACCAAGCAAATATAGTAATTCTTTTAAAAATAAATATTTTTTCTATAAATTTGCTTTGATCAAACTTGCTGTTAAATTTTAATTTTTTTAATAGTTCGAAATTCTGTTAAATATGAATTCTCGTTAAAGGAAAGTTAAATAAAAGTTCAAATAGAAATTTTACTAAATAAAATCTGGTGCAAATCGAAAATCTCCTAATTAAAATCGGGTCCGAATAGAAATTCATATAACTGGAAATTATATTTAACAAAAAATCCATTAATTGATAATTGTGTTAAATAAAAATTCTGCTAAAGAAGAATTTTGCAAAAAAATAATTCTTTTGAATAAAATTTGTCCCAAATGGAAATTAAGCTAAACTGGAAATTCTGTTTAACGAGCAGTTGAGTTAATGATAATTGTGTTAAATTAAATATTTGCCAAATAAGAATTCTGCCAAATAAGAATTTTGCCAAATAAGAATTCTATCAAATAAGAATTCTGGCAAATAAAAATTCTGCAAAATAATAATTCCGCCAAATAAGAAATCTGCTGAATAAAATTTTATCCAAACAAAAATTAAGCTAACAGAAATTTTTGTTTAACAAAAAATCAATTCACTAATAATTGTCTTAAATAAAACATCTGCCAAATAAGAATTCTGCCAAATAAAATCCAAGTGCAGCTAGAAAATTCAACACAGTAAAATCGCAGTTTTATTTCAAAAATCACTCAAAACAAAATATTCCCAACTAAAACTTCCACAAAACAAAAAATTCCATCAATAGAAAGTAATGTAAAAAATTTCACACCCCAATAAAAAACAAAAATCTAATTTCCCTAAAAATTGAAAAGAATTTAAAGTGAAATCTCGTAGAAATTCGTCGAATTAACTCCGAATTAGATAGAACAACTTCCAACTCGTCTGGCGTGTGAGAGGCACAATGCCGAAGAAGTAATCGCGAGGCACACAAAGTATAGAATTCATAGCCTTCGTACAGCTTCGACTTGAGTCGGTAAAAGTCGACACCCCTCGGGTTCAACCACGGAACTCGACGCGAGGAGAGACGAACGGCCACGACAGTTCCCTACAGTCAGGACAGACGCGTCCGCGATTCCAAACGAGGAGGTACCCTGTCTCCTTTCTCGTCGGTTTCCAATACACACGAGTACCGCAAAACATTGCTCCAAAAAAAAAAAATCCCAGAATACACTTTTTTTTCCCCCTTACTTTTATTTAATAAAAAGTTTTACTTTTCCAAAACAATATTTTTCTATAATAAAATTTCCAGAAAAAAAAGTGTAAATACAAAAGTGAAGGAAAAATTTTTCAATCAGTGGAATAACACAATTTGCAGGCTCTATACAAAAAGGATGAAACCCAAAGGACGAAGCTGATTTTATCGAAATTAATTTTCCTGTCATGTGGAGGAGTTACTCTCCTCCAAAATAGTGGTCATAGAAGTGATTAAAAAATTTTTGTGAAAAATAAATCATCATCAAAAAGTGGATTTTTGGAAAAGAGTAAATAAAAAAAAAATTTTTTTATTGAATAGTGCAGTGTGTTCCGTAAAGGGAACAAAAAGCTCTTGTCGCACCTTAAGCGTCGGAGCTCTCGCGCGACGCGAAATTCATGCGGTCAGCATCCTCAAGGATTTGAACATTTTTTTTCCCTTTGGATCCGAAATGAGAAGAATGGCTCATCAAACCGACGGTTGGCTCCAACTGGGCCAGAGGCAACGGAAGTAAAAAAAAATCCAAGTGTCTAATTGGTACTACAATTTTTGGATAACTTGAAATTGTTTTGTGCTCAATATTGGATAACGGCAAAAATGCAAAGGATTTATTAGAAAAGAAAAATAATAGTGATGTTGATGAAAAATTTGAAATTTCGGGTGAATTAAATACCAAAATTAATAATTTAGTGGATGTGGATGTGTCGTGTTGTTGGAAAGTGGTGGACGACGAAGTCGGAAGTGGTGTGTGCGTTAATTGGTGATACAGACGGTGTTCGCACTCGTTCTGTTTATTACGATGATTTCCACGTCATTTGTGACCCTGGTGTTCCTAGTGTGCCTTCAAACGGTTCTACTATCAACCGTGAGCAACTGTGCGAAAACAATCAGCATGCATTGGAACACAACAAATTCCATGTAAGTGGTTACAAAAAACAGCAAAAAAAAAAATACCAGTCTTTTGTTGCAACTTGTGTTTTGTTAACTCTCCCGTCGCTTCACGACTGTACTCTTTTATCGAGTGAATTTCTCCGTAAGCGATCACTTTATACTTTTCAATGGAAATCCCAACACAGTAGTTTTCCACTGTTAAAACGAGTTTTAATACCAAAGTAGTAAATACTCTGTTTCTTCACGAAGGCTATTTTTCTCTCTGAAAAAAAAGTTGTGGTAAAATATCCTGTTCACTTCAATGAGCTTCTTTTTCTTAAGAAGATCGTTTGCGCTCTATGGCTCTTGTCAGCGATTCCCAATGACGGGATGTTGATGAATGAATCGTGGAAAATTAACACCCGTGAGGTTGTAAATAACCGGAAATTCAAACTAAAATTAGTTGAGGTGGTAATTGCGAAAACGTCTTCAATTTTATAAAGTTCTTCCCGTTTTAAAATAATTATTTCCCATCTTCCTCTCTTCTTCTGCATTCATCAAGGAATTGAAAATTAGCATAAGAATTAATTCAATGTCCACTTGTATGCTAACTAAATAATTAAGATTTTCTATCTTCTGAAAACTTCCTATATTCATCAATAGGCAAATAAGAAGTCAGTCTTGAAATTTTAGGGGAAAAACTAGTTTACTTATCTGTTTACAAACACTAGAAGAAACCTTGCTATTTCTTCTTATCAGAAGAACCGAAGATGAAATCGTACTCTTCTTGGAAAAAAAGTCAAACTTCTAAAAATACCCACTTACAATTTGTTCCAAAAAAAAAAAATGAAAAACACACCTTTAAAAAAATATTCTAAAGAATAATTTCCTCGTTAATGTATGAGTCGCCTCTTTGTAAATGTAAATTCTCTTTTTTAAAGATTGTAATTGAGCATAAAGAAAAAGTTGCGTGTCAGCAATTTTGTATACCCTTTTTTTTTAAGTCGGAACAATAATATAGACGATAAGAAGCAAGGCATGCAAGATTTAAAGAGCCGCGGTTCTTAAAAGTGAATCGATTTCACATGCTAAACATGCTATTCGAATTTTCCAAAAAAGCATATTAACTCTACTCACAAATTTTTGAAATAACATTTAATCCTTGTGGGAATTGACAATTATTTAAATTCCTAGAGAGAGAGAAACAATTCTTGTTGCATATAAAGAAAATCTCTCTCTCTCTCTCTCTCCCCCTTCTCGATATGCAATTTAATTCAAGAGGATTCAGCTTTAATCAAATCGGTGTGCCGCTTACATTTAATTTTTTTCTCATTCCCAAGGGAAAAAGTCGCTCGTTCTCGCTTTCCAATTATTCGTTCGAGACGCAGAACCAAAGCGAATGTTACCTTGCCATGGCTTTCGAACGATCGTACGGTAAACGGCTCTGTTCGTGACTCGAACGAAATCGGCTCGTGACAAAGGCGAGTCTTCCCTTCGAGAACACTGTCTCTCCTCGACTTTTACGATCTCCCCGACATCGCACACGTTACAATCGTTACATGCACTAAACTCATTTCATTCGATCAGTCTTTAACTAATTTTCGACCTCCTATTTTCAATGCGACAATATTAAGAAATCGTCTCTCATCCTCTATTCAGCTCAAGAACAAAGTTCTTTTTTTTCAAAAAAAAAAATGTAATCACAGAAAAAAGTTTTAAGAAAATCTTTGATTTTGACTCCTATAGAAGTTTCATTCAAAAAAATTATTCATCTGATTTCGAGAAATTCCACCAATGAATCAATTTTCCTTATTCAAAGGATGTCAAAGTCTATGTAAAACTCGCATCGACTTTTACATTCTCTTAAAAAAGGTTAAATTAACGATTGTTGCTTAAATCAAAGAAATGGGTTTAATTGAAAATTTTTACAATAGTGCAATTTTATTTGGTTCAAAGAACGAATTTCTTTAATTACAATTTTTTTGCTTTAGATAAAATATCTTTGATTCAATCAGGATTTTCTTATATATCAAAGCGAATGTCACTCACGAATTAAAAAAAAAATGATGAAAAATCAAGCAAAATCATTCCAACTTCGTTATTTCGTATTTAAGATATAAAAATTGAATTTTAATCTACTTTTGGAAGAAGAGTAAAAAAATTTAATTTTGAACATTTTAGATTTAAATTCTACTTTCTATTAACTTAAATTGTTATAAAATTTGAATAAAAATTGCAATTTTCTGTCAATAAGAAACTTTTTATGTACAACGTAATCTAAAATTGAACAAACGTCTCGTATAATGATAAGATTGTAATTTTTATTTAAATAGAACAGTCAATTTTTGTTTCTTCTCTAAAAAAAAAGGAAATTAACACATTTGACTAACTTTTGTTTTGACTGTCTGTCAAATTCTTCATTAAACGCAAAATAAAAGTGACAGTTTTCCAAACAAAATCTTTTTTCCATTTGTATAAAACTTCTACTTAAATTATTTTTTTATAAGAAATTCTAAGATTGAATCAAGTATTTTTTTAAAATAAAAAAAATTTTATGTAATTCGAAATTCAAATTCTTCATTAAACGCAAAATAAAAGTGACAGTTTTTCCAAACAAAATCTTTTTTCCATTTGTATAAAACTTCTACTAAAATAATTTTTTCAAAAGAAATTCTAAGATTGAATAAAGTATTTTTTTTAAAATGAAAGAAATTTTATGTTAATTCGAAAGAAAAATTTTGTAGCGTTACAATTTAGAAAAATTTATTAAAAAATTCTTGAATTAAAATATCTTTGATTTAAAGAAATATTTTTGAATCAGTAAAGATTTCGGTAGCAAAGATTTCTTTATTAAATTCTTTTTTCTCTTCGAAAAAATTGCACTAATAATTAGAAGAACTCTTACATGGGGCAAAATATAAAGTAACTTTTGCTATTTACAACGTGAAAGATAAATTTTCTATAGGGAATTTCTTTACATTTTTATATTAATTTTTACTATATCGACAATAAATTTTACTATTTTCAATATTCAAGTATTCAATTTCAAAGAAATATTCATTTAAAATTAAAAAAATGTTCTCTGAAAGTATAGTAAAAATCTGCATAAATTTGTAACAGTTCAGGACCTACTACGAAAGTATAGTAAAAATTATTGTATTTGTCGTCTGTAAGTTTCAGACAAATTTTATTATCTCGAGTAAATTTCAGGTAGAATTAATAAAATTTACTTCAAAAAGCAGTAAAGATTGACAAAAATGTGCAGGAATTCCAAACAGTTAGATTTTTCCATGAAAGTGCAGTAAAAATCACTTTATTCGATTTTTGTGTTAAAAAGCAATTTTTATCGTCAGAAGTAAATTTTTACTTCTTTCAGAGTAAATTACAGTGAACTTGGTAAAATGTACTCCGAAGGGCAGTAAAAATTGAGAAAATTGTGCAAATATTCCAAACAGTTAAGATTTTATTATAAAAGTAGAGGAAAAATTACTTTACTCGATTTCTACAAATTTTAGACAAATTTTATTACGTCTCATGTGAATTTTACTATTTTTGATGTAAAATAAAGTAAAATTTATGAAATTTACTTCGAAAAGAGTAAAAATATGAAAATTCCAGAAAGTTTATGATTTACTATGATAGTATAGCAAAAATTTTTTTCGATCCAAAGTGATTTTTACCATTTTTGAAGCAAACAGTAAAATTAAGAAAACTTACTCCAAATGGAGTAAAAATTGAGAAAAAGGGGTAAAGTTCCTATTCAGTTTAGAAATTAGCATACAAGCGTATAGTAAAAATTACTGTATTCGTTTTTTTGTGCCCCAAACGAATTTTATTTTGTCGAAATAAAATATTACGATTTTTAAAGTGAATTTTAGTAAAACTATGTAAAACTTACTTTCGGAAATAGTAAAAACTAAAAGAGAAATGCCCAGAAATTTCTAACAATTAGGTTCAATTCTAATTTAAATACCAAAAGTTACATTTTTTTCGTATTTCTATTTAAGAACAAATAACATCAATCCGTTACTTTTCTCATCCGTATATAACTTATCTCCTCCATTAGTTGTCCTGCGGTGTATTTTGTTTCCAAAACATTTTTCTCATCCGCTCTTTATATTTATATAAATATATAAAAAAGAAAAAATTCCCCCATCTATATATATTTTAAAACTCAGAAAGAAAATAACACACTAAAAGAACGTCAATTTTTCAAAAACAAAAACTAGGCACCTTTCTAATGCATCATTAAATTTTCAAGAAGCAGACACGACTAAATCCATGAAAAATGGTTTAACATCCGAAAGCCACGTGTTCCCTACTTCACCACAAAATACACAATTTAAATTCAGACACACACTAATACCACATACTCAAAAAAAGTTTCCAACACTTAAATAAACAGAACATAATCTCATAACACCAATTTGTCTCGAAATAGTTCGATTCTATATCCTATATAATACTGGAAAAAAAATTCGAAAATATACTTTTATTTTGGGCTAAAATTAAATTCTAAATTCTACAAATCGGTTTCGGTGGCTTAACATTTTTCTATTGCCTAAAGAGGAGTTAGTTAACTTCTAAATAAGGGAATAATTGTGTAAAAAAATGACGAGGTTTTAATTTATGTAAAAACCGTTTTGCAATCAGGAATTGACAAGAGAATTAATAATTAATATTTTTTTCCCGTTTCTTAATCGAAAATAGCTTCTTTCGGACAACGGAATGAATATCGTGCTCCCTCGTGGAAAATGACGAGTCGTAAAAACGTCAAACGTCTTAAGATAACGGCTGTTTGCGATTGGTGTTCACGATTCGAGGCGGTTCTTCCTCGAAGCTTCGGAGACTTCGATGCTAGGACAAGCATAGAATAGATCGAACTCTCTCTCTCTCTCTTTTCCCCCCTGTGTATACCTCATCTTGCGATTACGTCCCTTGGTCCATGCAAAGATATCGTCTCCTCTTTTTTTCTTCTATTTTTTCTTCTATTTTTTCTTCTACATTTTTCTTCTACTTTTTTCTTCTACTTTTTTCTACTTTTTCTT